TGTATCTCTCTCTCTCTCTATCTATCTATCTATCTATCTATCTATCTATCTATATCTGTGTGTGTGTGTGTATTTGGTCTTGAACTTTCAGTTTCATAAAACCTCTAACCCCCCAGATTTGCGGATAGGAGCCTCGGTAGTTGATGAGGAGTGCCGGTGCAATACCAGATTTCGGAAAGGCATTCAAAGGATGGCGAACATAACCGGCAGCCTTTCAATCTCCGGGAAGCCTGCATCCGAAAACACAGGTCTGGGCTTAGGGTTTAGGGGTATCGGGTGACGAAAGGCCGAGCCTAGACAGCAAAAGCCAACTACCCAACACCCAGCAAGAAGCCTGGAAACTTTTTGGCTAGGAGGCTGCGTTCGTTGTTTAGCCTAAGGTAACATGACGTGTCTGAACATCGAACCCTCCACCGCCCAAACCCTTAGGCCCTAAACCGTTTACCATAAGGACCCCTGAGAAAGCCCTGACAAAAGTCTGATACCCTATGAGTCCTAAGCCGCTTTAAAGTCACCCTCCTGGTGCCCATCAAGGGAACCTTCTTGTAACTAACTACTCATACAGCCCTAAACCCTAATAAACCCTAAACCCTAAAGGGAACCCCGAAACCGAGCCCCTCGGTGTTGGGCTCTCTCTTCTCCGCCCCTGCAAGCTTCTAAGAGCCGAGATACCACCAAGAAGCCCAGGGACACGGCGGGCTGCACCTTGCGCACTTTCCATGGATCTTCCATGTCATGCCTGAATCATGAGGATAAGGCTCCTTTAAAGTGATCTGCCGGGTTCTAGAAAGTCTCCCTGCAATACTACCGGGGCCTTCTGCAGCAAAAGATGTTGGAGATGTTGGTTTGTTTGGGAGCTTTGTCCGGTTTTACTCAGAGTTTAGGGTGCAGAGCTAGAGCGCACTTCGTAGTTACTGGGACCGCCTAAACCCTGAAATTCTGCAAAGGGGGTAACAGGGACGATGATTGACAACGATTACTCTCAATCCAGATCTCCAGACCCCCCAAACCCCAAACCCTATGTAAATTGTGCAGCCCGGGAGCAATGGCCCAGAAGACAGAGGTAGCTGACCGCCCACCTTTTAAAGGTCTCGATCAGAGAGAACTTTCGGCAGGTCTCTTGTCGAATCTAGGTGTCCTAATACTGAGAACAGGGTGTTGGGGGGTATACTAGGTATGCTTATACCCGGGTGATAAGAAGGGGATATTCTTGCTATTTAGAACTCTTCGCCGCCCCAATAGTAAGGGTTTGGATGCTCAAGTCCCAAGGTTGACAGGGCTTCGGGCAAGGTGATGATACGCCTTCTGCCCTAAAAAAAGGATGTTGGCCGGGTTTATCTTGCTAGACACCCGGGGCGCCCCGGGAGGTAGTTATTTCCGAAGGAGGAGCAGACGGTCCAAAATCATGGGTTATGACGGTTATGACTCACCCTTAGCATCAAAATAACCCAAAAGCCTTATATAATAGGGTCTTTGGGCCCAAAAGCCTTAAACTATGCGTCCTTTGAGGGTATGACTCAGGGATGCTGGCAGCTACCAAACCTGGCCAGCTGTCCTTAGGCCGTCTATGTTCGGAGCTTGACCTTCTTTGCGGGTTTAGGCAAAGGGCTGCCAAACCTCTATAGCGGTACTTTCGATTTTCGACTGGATGGATCTTTCATCACATATGAAGAAACAATACATCGCAGGATTTCGGACTTCGGAATTCCGGGCGGTTCAAGAGAAAGCAAACCCAGTCAGTAACCGAACAAGCTTTCCAGCAATAGCATCCTACAACATTCCGATATCGCTATGCAAGCCGAAGCTACAAAGTCCCTCCCCTCAACGATGAACCTTAAGTGTGTCAAACACCCTAAACCGTAATTTTAAAAGCGCCCGAACCCTAAACCCAAAAACTCTGAGCCGTAGCATGCTCGCCTGGGTATTTCTCCCGCAGGATCATCCCGTCCTCTGTCTCCTCCATAAGTTGGTCCGGTGGAGCCATCCAACTGCGTCGGAGGCAGCATGCAAGAAGGGCTTAGGGCTTCATCTCGGGCTCTTAGACTCGATAGGCTGGGGTTTGAAAGTCGTTTCGGATTTTCGTGGAATTGACTATATATGGGTGGCTTTATCCAGGGGGCCGTAGAGTGAGGATCGTACTATTTTGGGTCGAAACGCTGCGGAAGGCCTAGGACCCTGCAGGGCTTGACACAGTAGGGCTGTTGCGGGGTTTCGAATCTCGCACTCCTAGAGGACTGCGAAATCCGAGGGCCCGGAATTCGGGGTATCCTGAAGAAGGACCGGTTTAGGGTTTAGCGTGTAAGGTCTAGAGTTTTGGGGGCGGTTTAGGGTTTCAGGACAAGCCGTTCCAACTACGCAGCTCGATGATGGTGTCGTCAGTCCAAGACATAAGACCCAGTAAGCACGCTACGCCAACATGGAGATACTTGTACTATACTACAACATACTATACTATGATTTATATACTATACAACAATATGCTACTGAAAAAAGATACTTGGCTCGTCTAGGGACTCCATCAGCAGCTGGCGCTCGTCCTTGCTCATTCCTCCGCCTTGGTTCCCAAGGAGTAGCTGGCTGCAAGGCGCATTTAGGTTTAGGGTTTAAGGATACCTTTACCCAAAACCCTAAACCCTTAACCCTTAACCCTAAACCGAAAACTCAAGACCCTAGACCCTAAACCCTGAACCCTAAACTTAAAAACCAAAACCCCTAAACCGTATAAACCCTAAGCCTTTGGGCTCCAAAGGCCCAGAGATTGCGGTATTTAATGACTTGGCTTGGGTTGCTTTAGCTTTCGCTTTCCTCAGTTTGCAGCTATCACTTTGGCTTTGCTTCAGCTTCAGCTCTAAAGTTAGCTTAGGGTTTAGGGTTTAGGCGTTAGCTTAAGCTTAGCTTAGCAGTGTATACCCCTGAAAAAATACTGCTTGGTAGTTAGGAGAAAGCCCAGTGGCATTCTTTTCTGTTTAGGCTTCAAAGGAGCCCGATATCAAGGACCAGTTTTGCTCTGTGGACCTTGTCGCAAAGTGGTGTCCATGCTCAGGGTTCGCGTTTCTTTAGGGATTCAGGGAAATAACTCTGAACCCTAAACCTCGACCCAACACCCTACACTCTGAACCGGATTTTCATGAGCCGCGAGCACGAGGCGAAGGCCCGAAAAAGACATGTAAAGTACGGCGACAAAGGACCCACACTGCACAAATCCGAAAGTCTGAGCTGTAAGGAGACAAGGCAGACAGTCCCGCTCACAACAAATAGTACTCCTGACAGTATCCCGTATACTGACCCTTTAGAGCAAAAATTGTACTAACCCTTATAACCCCTGGCCCCTGACCGTAACCTGTATAACAACCCTTATAGTCACCCTTATATATCAAAGTAATAAGCCCTTATGCTGGCCCTGAAAACATCCCCTATACTAACCTTTGCAGTGGCCCTTATAGTAAAGAGTACAGAGACTCTTACAATGACTCTTCGACTAACACTTCAGCATCCCTCATGCTATACCTTTTACGTTTTAAAGTTTTACTCACCCCTTAGCTCAAACTTTTAAGCCTCGGAAAGGCCACTCTCATATTAACTCAGCGGTATAGTAAACTAACCCCTAAACCCTAAACCTTAAACCCTGAACCCTTAACAAAAAAACTTGGCCAAGGGGCCAAAGGTCCCCCCACTTTCACCCTCCGCAGCAAGTGCCACCTGGAGCGCTGACGGAAAGTCTCGTAGACTCTTTGTGGGGGTGTAGGGGTTTCGGGTTTAGGATATTCTTTAACGGCTTAGGACTTAGGGCTTGGGGTTAGAGTTTAGGATATTCCTTTGCCTTAGCAGGGTTTGGGCGTTTTGGGTCGAAGTCCATTATTGCCATTGGTGGGTCATGTCTGTTTCTTCCTTGGTTTCGGGCTATGCCTATGCTCCTACTCTTGCGGGAACCCGGTAGGGCCGGAGCCTGATTCAGAAGCGGGAGCATGAAGTAGGAGCCGCAAGAGCGTCTAAGCAAAAGCACGAGTATGCCAATCAAAGAGGGGCATGCCCAACTTGAAGTCTGAGGGGCCCTTTGGATACTCCCAAAGCCCATCACCTAAACCCTAAACCCTAACACCCTAAACCCTAACACCCTAAACCCTAACCCCCCCCTAAGCTCTTTGGTTACCTGTGGCCAAAGAATCAAACCCAAGCCTTGATCGAGTTTAAGGGCTAAGGGGGACTAAAGGACCCCATCATAAGAACCGCAAGCTTTCAAGGATCCTACAAACCGTAAAGCTCTCGTCTCCTTTGCCCAGCCGAGACTATATAAAATCTGTACAAGAAGGAAACGTACGGAATACTTTGAAGTAATAAGTAACAAAGGCCCCCTTGCAGTGCTTTAACCTTTAAAGGACCCCTCTTTCCAGGAACCCAAACCCGCCACCTCTCGGGACGGCGTCTGCACCTGGGGGCTCGGGCCAACGAAGGCCGTCCAGAGGCTCCTCACAAGTGAGCACGGCTTCTCCTTCATAGAACTCTTGGGTTTTAGGGTTTAGGGTTTGGGTGTAGGGTTTCATTAGAGGTTTCGGGGTCATTGAAGTCCTACTTCATAGGACTCTTGGGTGTAGGGTTTCATTAGGGGTTTAGGGGTCTTCGAAAGCCTAAATGAATCCCTTGGGGTGTAGGGTTTCATTAGGGGTTTTTAGGGGTCTTCGAAAGCCGAAATGAAACCCACAGTTCGCAATGTTCTCCTTCCGAAGACGGCGACGACGAGCCACTTCAAGAGGAACTTGCCTTTCGCCATGGTCCTGCACGTCGGGATTAGGGTTTTTTTTGCCTTTTGTTTTTTTTTTCGGGATTAGGGTTTAGGGTTTAGGCTGTAGGGTGAGTTCTGGGTTTTTTCTTTACAGTTTTGGGGATAAGGGTTTAGACTCGCGTCTGAGAGCAACCCGTCGACAGCCGAAAATACGAGTTCGAAGTTGGAGACTCTATCGCCCCAAGACCCTCCTGTCATGTCTCTCGCATGTGTGTAGAACTTCGAGAAAGCTTCTACAAGGGTTCGGTAAGGGTTGAACCTTTGAGGTTTCGAACGTACTCGGCTCAATGCTGCCTGCTACTGCAGACCTTGGCGACCGAACATCTGCGAGTCCTGCAGCATCTGATAAGATGATGCCATGAAAATACGTAACATACGATTGTAGCAGCTTGAGACACGCAGCGGCTCTGAGCGTCACAAGTCGTGTCTCAAAGGATCGTCAGAAGTTGGAGCCGCCGCGGCCCGCGTCGTGAACATCTCAATCCCACACAACACCCCGCCCAGCCCTCCCCGCTCTTATCAGCATGGTCCTGGTGAAGATAACAGCGAAATAGCCGATGCACGCGGCACGTGGGGGGTTACCAGTTCTTGCAAGCAAAAGCCAGAACCAAAGACTGCAAAACCCTGCCCTTAGGTAGATGTACTCTGCAACACGGCGGCGCTGCTTGTTCCTGCCCACGCGCGAACTTCGAGCCAAAATCCACGGAGCCCACCAGCCACTGGACATATGCTCGTTCCGAAGGCGTCGACTTTCTGACCCACTGGCAACAAAGCGGTCCGAATGCAGCAGCGACATACGATTGTAGGACCCCAGACTGCCAACTCCTAAGGCCTGAAACCCTGCACCCCCAATGGAATCCTGTCAACTCCCTACCCATAGGCCCCCAAGTAGTTCCTTTTTGGGATTACCTTGTAGGATTCTAAACATAAGCCACAAAAAGGAACTACTTCGGGGCCTATGCGTAGAGCACCCATCCACAAGCACCTGCCGTCACTTTCGGATCTTTGCAGCCAGGCAACTCTTGGGGAAACCCGGACAGGGTCGCCCTGGCCTCCTTTGCAAAAGCTTCCGATGTTAGGAGCGAGTCGGCACAACGTGAGCAGCTCGGGGTTTGCAAAGTCGTGTCTGGAGGATTCTAGGCTGTTTCGGGTTTAGGAGTGGCTTAGGTTCTAGGGTTGTATGACATGAGACTACCCTTACAAGGCCGAACAGTCACAGACCCGTTATCAAATTTCTAACCTACGTGACTACTATCCTACGCCGAAGTAGCTACACATGTTACATATAGGATCCTTTATGATCCTTTGGACCTGTAGGCTTAGGTTGTTAGTGACGGGATTCTTGGCCCGGGACCTGGTTCTGAATTGGGATTCACTTCTGAGGTTTGAGGCTGAGGGGACCCACGCCCGTAGTTTCTGAAGCATGGCAAACTTTCGATAATCGTTTTTTCGGCTTTAGCTAGTCACGACACGACACTACACTACACTATGTAACAGTACACTACCAAAATCAGTACATACATGCATGCATACATGCATGCATACATACATACATGCATCCATACATACAAACACACACACACATACATACATACATACATACATACATACATACATACATACATACATACATACATACACACACTGCATACATTACATGACATACACAGACATGATCACATACACACAGATATACATTCCACTACGGTGCACTAACATTACACTACGGTCCGTTCCATTCCAAGGCAATGCATTGCACTGCACTAGTTTGTATTACAATGAATGCCAGCATGCATACATATATACTTACTTGCATACATAACTACTTACTGAGTTACTTTCTCACTTACTTACGCAAGACACAGAGAGAGAGAGAGAGAGAGAGAGAGGCATCCCAGCACACTACATTCACTACATTGCAGCATGTTACATGTATTTTACAAGCATTCGGCATACGTGTATACATGCATACATACTTACTTATGTAACTACAAGCATACATACCCATATCCACATACAGAGATACATGTGTGCGCAAATGAGCAGGAACGAACATGCATGTGTCCATCCATGCATGAATGCATGCATGAATGCTTGCTCCTGCTCTTGCTTTTGCTCTTGCTCTTATTGTGCTCTACTACGGGTGCTTGGAGCCTCGATACCCCTCCCCCGAATTCAGCATAGGTTTTAAAGGGCAGGGATGATTTCGGGAGGATTTGCCCCAATGAGTTTTCATTAATTGGAGGAAATTTAACAAAAGGGGGAAGCGATTATGTATGTCGAGAAACAGGCAGGGAGACAGAGAGAGAGAGAGAGAGAGGCAGGCAAAGCCAGAGAGAGAGAGAGAGAGAGAGAGAAAAGTCAGAGAGAGGGAAGGGAGAGCGAGACAGAGAGAGAGACACAGAGAGAGATTGCTTCGGAGAACAGGTCATGCCAAGCACACCAATCCTCTAATATGCGAAGCCCCAACTTTGAGAGCCCAGCAGTCTAAATGCAATCCGAGGGACTCGACGGGGTGATATACGTTAATTTGTAAAGGGGCTCTTGGGGCTTTGGGAGCTCGCGGTAGCAACCCTGAACCCTAAACCTGTAAGACACGAGGAGCCTCGAGGAAGCCGTCGTTCTCTTTCTGCAACGCCTTGGAGTCATCATTGGAATGGGGGTTGGGGGTATCTTTTTTTCACAAGGGACTCGATACTATAATTTATAATAAGGAACCCCGCAAAACCCTATTCTAAGGCCCCTACATTGGGGCCTTGGAGTCAATCAAGGCCCGGGGGAGGCCCAGAGTTTCGGGTGACTAGGGTCTCGGAGCTAGCTGCCTAGGAGCACTCAGATGGTGGTTTGGTTTAGGGTGTCGGGTTTTAGGGTTTAGGGTGTTTAGGGTTTAGGGGTTAGGGATTGAGGGTTTAGGGGTTTAGGGGTTCAGGGTTTAGGGGTGTAGGGATTTAGGGTTTAGGGGCTCTTATTAGTCCTGAACCTTAAACCCGCTTGCAGAGCTACGCTGCTTTTGGCCTTGGTGCGGCCAGAGGTTGCCAATGTGATGTATGGCCAATCCATCCACATAGCATCCTCACGATTTGCAGCTCTGGGATGCTGTAGGACCCAGAGACTCCAAAACCCCTTAACTAAGGAATATACCTTAAACTCTTAAACTACACTAGGAACCCTAGTATGATTTAAGCTATGTTCCTTAATTAAGGGGTTTGGGAGTCTCTGGGGAGTCTCGGGTGCAAGTCTTGGCAGTGGGACCATCCGTCTCGACCGACCCGGACTCCACATTCTACAGTGACTTGCGGATCTCTGCCACTCGCCGCGTCTGCGCCTCCGTGCGGCGACGGGCCCGCTCTCTCGCCGAGCAGCTCGGAGGCCAAACTGGAGTGGTCAAGTGCTGGGCTTTGGAAGGGCCGCGAAGAGCATGAAACAGAGCACTTTGTGACATCCAGGGACCGGCGCCAGCGGCCTGCAGGGTCGTCTTGCCTGCCCACGCAAAAGAAGCCATACTGCTTCAACACTGGAACAGAATTCCTCAACAAGGAAACGAAATTATCTTAAAGGGTTCGTACAGAGTTCAGAGATGGTTTTATATGGGGGGATTCATAATTTCTGATACCAACGCCTAAACTGGACAGTATAAGTGTGACAAGCCCATATCTATAATGACACTTCGCAACGGCTCTTCCAAGCTTTCGATTTTGAGTTCTAGGTTTAGGCCTTTCAAAGCCACAGACCAGAAGGTTGCAGAATCCCCTCCACCCAACAGTCTAAGCCCGAACACCACACATGGAAAGCTGAGTCGAGAAAATGTGGTGGGCTTGCGTTGTTGGTTTAAGGCTTTGGTCCTTGAGGGTTTCGCGCATTTAAACGGCAAGCCCCCAGAACCCTAAATCATATGTCCGCCACTTGTGCTGAAGGGCTGAATTTGAGGCCCGCAAGACTTTACAAGGCCTGAACACACTGGATTCCACTGGCTCTTCCAAGGAACAATTTCTTCTGGAGAATCCGCCGTCCTCACAGGGCCGACAGTTAACTAATATCCATTCCGCATCGGGGATAATTTATCTGTTTTTGCGGTCCCATCCTTCACCAAAAGACCATAAATCTAAACCTTCAAAAGGCTGCCGAACCCTGTATACGCACAGCTTGATCCGAACTTGGGAGTCCGCCATCCCAAACCGCGAAGACTTGGCTTGGAGAAAACTGCTAGCTTCCCTTCTTTTCGGGAAGTTCTCATGCACGCATGGGTGTAGTCGGAATTTAGGATGGCTCCCAAAGGGTCCAAGTACCAATCTAGTGTTTGTGCTAGATTGGTACTCAAAACCCTTCGGGGTTTAGAATTTAGGACAAAAACCTTTAATTCGGCTTTAGTCGGTCGGTTTACTTTTGCTGTTCATTCTAAGACCTCTTTTCCAGGATTTAGGAGCTCGGGGTACAGAAGTCCAATGCTTGGGAATTTGGGTTTGCAGGATCTATGAAACTTTTGGGCTGCCTAAACCCTAAACCCGTTGGCTTCTAGATTCTAGAAACTTCGGAGTTCCGGGTAGTTCCAAGGTTTGCAGTGCGTGCTTGGGGGCCAAATGGACCCTTTGGCCCAAATCCCTAAACCCTAAACCCTAAATATGATTCGGCTTCATGGCTTCAGGGGAAGGGTGGAAAAGTCCCTGCTGTTACAGTCAGCGAGGGTTCAGGAAGATGGCAGAATTCAGGACTAACCCCTAAGCCCTAAACTAGATCCTAAACCCATTTTGCATCCAGGCCTCCTAACCCTTAAACCCTTGCACAACCCTGAACCCCTAAACCCTACACCGCGGCATCTGCTGGCGAAGGGGTGTGTGGCGATTTGTATTTCAGACCCCTGGTCGCACGTGGTGCCTTGCACGAGTTAGTCCAACCCTGAACAGAATCCAAGCACAGCCGACTGAATTCCCACATCACAAGCTTGTTCGTAGAGTTGCTATAACACGGCCTTTTAATGTCTGTGTGTACTCTTTGTGTGTGTCTGTGTACATACATATATACATATATGTAGAACTTCCCTTCTTCAGACCTAAAAAATGCTTACAAGAAGTTGCTTACAAGAAGTAACGCCTTGTCCCACAACCGCCTCTAGACCGCGGCTGAGATAATCCATGCACTAAGTACTGAAACGAGGCTCTGCTCTGGAGAGGGCTTGCAGTTTAGACTGCGTAGTAAGTTTGCAATTATTGCTTCGAAGATGCTCCCGTCACCCCTTCGGCAGTATCCAGCACCATGTGTATATATATATATACACTATATACATATACATATACATATATATATATGATTATGTATATATATGGTTCGCGTGGGATGAAGGGCACAGCCACTCCCCGTGGAACTATTGCGATCGCTTCTGGCCTACCGTTCTGTGGGTTTACTGTTCGGATTGATGCGACTAATTTTGGACCCTTTTTTTGAGCAGGGACTGCAACGCACTAAGACCCTAAACCCAAAAACCTAAACCCTGCCGTCAACACCCTTCGTTTCGGCTGTTGCCCCCATGCTGCAAGCAAGAAGCATATCTGCGCCAAACCATTTCTGCACTTCGCCTGGGCAGTTCTAAGCCCCACAACTAACCGCGAAAACCTCGGGCACTTGCTCTGACCGTTAAGCACCTCTTGCCCCGCTAAGCCTTCCTCAAGAGCAGGTCGTCGCATCCTGAAAGAAAAGAGGTACCCCGAAATCCTAAACCCCATAAACCCTAAACTTCCCTAAACCCACATGTTCTGAAACCCACAGAAGCATAGGTCGAACCGAAGTCGAAGAAATTCTTCTGCTCGGTGGCTGCAGGCTTGTTCGTGCGCATTGATGTAGAGGAGGATGGCACAAACACATCCTGGGTCTAAGGTCTATGGGTTTAGGATTTAGGGGTCTAGGGTTTAGGGGTTTAGGGTTGAGGGGTTGAGGGGTTTAGGGTTGAGGGGTTAAGGGTTTAGGGTTTAATAGGGGTTTAGGGTGGGTCCGGCTGGGTTTCAGAGTGGAAGTTGAAAAAAGGCCACGAAACCCCAACGTGCCGGGATCCCGCGGGACCCTTTTTAAGGAACAAGACCACCCTTGAACGAGCCCTTAAAAGGGGACCCGATTATCGAACCCTACAGTTCCCTTTAAAAGGGGACCCCAGTCTTTCACCCTACAGTTACTGCAGGTACCCTTTGTAAGGAAGTCCCTAAACCCTAAAGCCTAAACGGCTTAGGGTTTAGAATTCTAGAACCTTCAAGGCCCAAGAGAGATCGAAAGAAAGGGATGATCCTAGGGACCCCAGGTCCGCTCCCCTTTCTTCCAGGGTTGATGGGTTTTGAGGCTTTTGGGCTTTTGGGGTTTTGGGGCTTTCGGGGTTTAAGGTTTAGGGGCTTTTGGGGTTTCGGGTTTAGGGGCTTTTGGGGTTTAGGGTTTAGGGGCTTTTGGGGTTTTAGGGTTTAGGGGCTTTTGGGGTCTAGGGTTCTGTCGTTTCTTTTGTGCGTTGCTTTTGGGGCTTTGGGATCGAGGGCTCTATCGTTTCTGTTGGACCGTTGCTGGTAGGGTCTCTTTCAGTCCAGGAGTCGTTCGGCTCCTTTTGTTCATGTGCCTCCCAGCTTCTATCGGTTCGTCTAGGTCTTTGTATTGAAAGCTCCCTTTCTTACTATCTTTCAGGTCTTTTGTTGAAAGCTCCCGTTTTACTATCCTTTAGGTCTTTTGTTGAAAGCTCCTTTCTTTACCATAGTTTTAGGTTTGTTGCTGAAAGCTCCGTTTTACTACTGCCCGTTCCAGTCTGGGCAAAGAGGGTTTAGGGCTTGGCGCTCGCGCTTCAGAGGGGTTGCACAGGGCTTTGGAACCCCATCTTCTGGCCACGGAGGTGCATGGTTTAGGGCTTCGGGGTTTAGGGTTTAGGGGTTGAGGGCTTTAGGGCTTGAGGGGTTTCGGAGTTTAGGGTTTAGGGGTTTAGGGGTTTAGGGTTCAGGGGTTGAGGGTTTAGGGGTTTAGGGTTTAGGGTTTGCTTTTGATGAGACAAATCCTGCGTTACCCTTAAGGCCCGAAACCATGGGAATAATGGTATATGATTAGCATTACCTTCAAGGGCCCTAATCCATGGGAATTACGGTATATTATTAGCGTTACCTTTAAGGGCCTAAACTATGGGAATTATGGACGCATTACCTGAAGGGCCCTAAACTATGGGAATTATGGCATAGTCTTTAATATGGGTCATGCGGGGTTTACATCATCAACTGTAGTGGGCTTGCCCTAGAAGCTCAGCTACGTACACAACACTTGAAATGAGCATACAGGGGCAGCCGAATTATACAGAGTTGTCAGATGTAAATCATAACTGTCTACATCGGTAACTAGTTCAGTGCTTGGGCTAGGCCGGCCTCGCGATGAAACTCCAAACCCACAGATTGCAACCCAAGAAGCCCACATCCTGAAGCAGCAAACGCATCGACTTACCCATAGGTTCCATTGTAGTGCCTTTTTGTGGTTTGATGTTCAGGATCCTATAAGCATAAGGGAACCCCAAAATGGAGCATATGGGTAGACTCCAAAGACCATTACCATGGAAGCCGAGTGCAGCAGAAAGAACTCACTAACTTAGACTCCCCAAAACCCTCATTCACCCTAAACCCTAAACCCTGAACCCTAAACTGGAAGCAAAGTGTCTCTCTTGAAGATCCGGACGTCCAGAAAGGCTTTTGAAAGAAAAGCTGACACCCCGGCCACCTCGTTTAGGGTTTAGGGTTTAAGGTTTAGGTTTTAAGGTTTAGGTTTTGGGGTTTAGGGCTTAAGGTTTCGGATGTAGGGTTTAAGGTTTAGGGTTGAAGGGTGTCGGGGCTTGGGGCTCAATGGTTCGGAGCGCTTGAGGGCCGTAGGGGCCCAGCAGTTGGGGGCCAAATTGTTGGGAGTTTCAGGTTTTGGTTTCGGCACGTGTGTTTGAAGCTGTGCCTCAGCAAAAAGAGACAAAGATGCGGAGTTGAAGGCTCGGGCTTAGAGACAACATTACAAAATCTTGCGGTATACGTATATCATGGTCCATAACAAAGCGGCCGGAAAGCCCTGGTAGAAGCCGTTCGTGTACTTGTGCCGAACAGTATTATATGGGTAGTTCTCTAAATCAGGGTCCCTTTTAGTCCCCAAAATATAGTACGGCACCCTTATAAAAGGGACCCCAAAAGAAACCCTAATTTAGAGAACTACCTAGACGCAATTCGGCTCTAGGGCTTCTCACGTGGGCCCTCAGGAAACACAATGAAGGATTCATGCAGCATGGCTGCTGTAAACACACTGTAGTGTCTTCATGCACGCACAAACAATCTAAGCCAGCTTTTGCCTTGCGGACCGAATCAGCAAATCACACGTCCCTGCGATACTTTACAACAGCGGTCCCTGTACTCTTACTACAGAGAAGCTCCTACAGTCCTACAAAAAGAGTCGCAACAACCTGATACTGGGGCTCTTGCACGTTCGAAAGCCGTAACCCAGAAGCTCTGGCACAAATGCCCTGATGATTGGTTTAGGGTTGAGGGTTTAGGGGTTTTGGGAATTGTTTTATTTCGACCGCACGAGGGCGATAGCGCGGGACCATTGCTAATTGACCAGGAAAATGGAAGCGAATCGAACCACAAGAAGCACCGAGAAAACCCACCGAAGGGACCAAATTTTGCAAACCAACGCGTAGTCCCGAAGTCCTCGACCCCTACAAGGTAGCGTTTCTTGCACAAGGAACCCCGAAGCCATGATCTACAGCAACCCCACTAGCCTTGATCCCAATACCCGAAGTGGCTCAATCTTTCAGAGCATGACTCAACTGACTCAACTGAAAGAGCTTAGGAAGTTTAATCATGGCACAGGCGACGGTTATTTAAGCTTGAAGCCCAATCACTACTTATGCACCAGAAACTTTCCACCCTATGTTAAAACGCTAGCCCCCGATCGTATTTTAAACCCTAAACCCCCCAACCCTTGGACCCAAAACCCAAACCCTGCCGGATCCCTCAACCGAGCTTTGCAACCGAGTGTCGGGTTTTTTCCTCGGAGTCTAGTCCAAGCATATCTCCAAGCAGCTCCTTGGCTTGAAGGAAATTTCCAAGTACGATCCCGGCCCGGTCACGAACCGATATGGGAGCTTCGCTGTTTATAATTACAACTACGGCTTACCCAGAAAAGCACAGCTCCCTTAACCAGAGGCCTCCTGTCAACGATCCCTGCTGCAGGCTAAACTGTTAGGAAGCTTCATTGATCAAGAGTTTCTGTAGTCCCTGCAGACAGCTGGAAGAGCGAGTGCGCCAACACAACTCCAAGTCCTCACATGCTGCTCCAGAGCAAAGCCCCAATGACCGGAACTTTGCGCACCCCAAATGCTACAAACCTTAGACCCTCAAACCTGAAACAATACATCCCGCACACACTTCATAGGTTTTAACTTGGCTTTGTGGGGGGTTCTTTTGTCAGATTTCGATGACGGACTCTTGAGGTCAGGGCCCAAACCCTAGACTACCCATGAGCTCCATAGTAGTTCTTTGTTCGGGGGGTTATCTTATAGGATCCCTAGATATATAAACCCTCAAAAAGGAACTACTATGAAGCCTATGGGTATGTTAGCCCATAGTTCCCTAAACCCCCAAACCCTAAACCCCAAACCCTAAGCCCTAAACCCCTAAACCCAGGCGTCTCGGCTCAGGGTTTTGCCGGTTTGGCATACCTGAGCCCTGTACCCTAGCGTGGTCAGCAGACCCGCGATTACGCGTGCTGTCGGTGGTCCGCCCGTGCGCCCGACACAGCACTGCCCCTTCCCTCGCTGAGCCATAGGCGCGAGATTTTCCTTTTTTGCTCTGCCCCTCACTGATCTGGTTCGCCCTGGTGAGGCTGGCACGCTCCGCTCTGGCGTCGAGCATACGCAGACTGCGATTTCCGCTCTGCGACAATCCTATCCTTTTATGGTCTGGTGGATACTGGTTATTCTGGTTACCACAGGGACCCTTAACCACGGTGGGATCGAGGCGTCCCCCGAAGGAGTCCGCGGCCCACAGACGAGACAGAAGGGCCAGGACAACAGCCAGGACGGTCCTTCGCAATTTCTTGGACAGCTCCGTGGCATACAGCAGGCCCAGAGTTCTCTCAGCCTGCAAGGTGCTAGAAACGCACCACAGCGCAAGCCAACTGCCTGGACGAGCTCGGTATCTGCTTGGCGCAATGCCGAACTCGTGGAAGTGTATGACTTGCCGCAAGTGGAACAGGGCCAATGCGGTATTTTGCCCGCATTGCGGGAGCCATTGGGAACGAGTGGCAGAGAGCTATTCCAGTGCAGCGCCATCGACACCATGGCCACCAAAGTCAGAGCAAGCACCGTGGGCGACCCAGCCGAGGGCTTGGTCGGCTCCCAGATCACCAAGGAGGCCCTCTCCCCGACGTCGTGGCAAAGGCAATGGCCAGGCCGGGGAAACTGGACAGGCCAAGGCCGGTGGAAAGGGCCCTGGAAAGCCGGGTGCTGCTGGAAAAGCTTCAGTGGCAGATGCTCCGAAGCCGAACATAGAGTCGCTGCCAGCAGCGCCCAAGGCCTCTACGGTACCGACTCCGAAGCCCCGCAACAACGCACCGGGACAGCCCTCTGCCGAGAAGTTGCAGCTGGAAGCTCTGGTCAAATGTCTGGGAGGCCTCAAGGAGACCCTCCCTCCAGAAGCTGTCGAAGCCATAGAGCAACTACAGCTGAGCAGCACCCAGGACACCACCAAGGAGCTACACCGTGCAGTCGCGGCTCAGTCAGCTGCGAAGAAGCAGCTGATTCAGACGCGAGCTGCGAGGGCAGCCTACATTGCAGCCTGGAACGAGTACATTGTACAGGTCTCAGATCTCATACAGACACAGGTGCAGGAGCAAGCTGCACAAATCGCGCACTACGACGAGACAGAGCTGGCATGGCAAGGTTCGCTCGAGAAGGCGACAGCAGATCTTGCTCGGATGGCCAATGTGTCGACATCCAATGCGCAGGAGGACGGCGAGTCCGAGATGGACGTTGCCGAAGCACAAGTGGACAACGACATCGAGATCGCTCAGGAGCAGGAACGACGGCGACAACAACAGGTGGCCGACTCTGCAAAGTTGATTGCGGTCATGGAGTCGCTGAAGGAATCGGCCGCGCAGCGGCTCGCACAAGAATCCTCGGAGACGCGAGAGGGCTCGCGTACCCCGAGGCGCCTCAAGCAAGGCCCGATCGACCTCACCAAGGAGTCGGCAAAAGACGACAAGCCCGACAATGGTGGACAACCTACATTGCCTGGGCAGCAGCAGCCGGCGCAAACCAAGAAGCCCCCTGGTGGGGCCAGTGCGTGAGCTTTCGAGGACCGCACTGGCCGATCGAGTCCGGCATGCCGCATTTAGCGGTCTGCTGTGAGCACAATTTCATGCATGCGCACGTGGCGGAGCTCCACGCATGCAACCAGGCCTTGGAAGTCAGCTTGCAAGACCTTCCTGACCTCCGACCTCACACATTCCTTGATGATACCAGGCTTGATGTCACAGAGCTTGAGCCATGGGAGGACCGTTTCCCCCTGGCACGTTCCCCTGGTGTTTCAGAAGCCAGCTTGATGGTGAGGAGAGTGACCTTTTTTCTACGGATGGTGAGTTTACTGCCTGTACAGTGACTAATAGTTGCAATGTACAGTCTGTTTATGAGGGGCCCGGCATTTTGCATGTGTTTCCTCATCGCCTGCCACTGAGAGTCTCCTTTCAGGGGATTGGAGCCTCAGACAATGGCAACATGTGGCGGCGACAATATAGCCGACTCTGTCGCAGCCTTTGGGAAAGCTGCCGAGCAAACTACACCTTAGGGGTGATTTGCCCTCCGTCGCAGTCTGTGCAGGTGTTTCCTTGCACGACAACGGACCATCTTAGCAGCAAGCAATCTGCTCAACATTTCCCTGGACTTACCCTGTCGCAGCTTGTGCGGGCTGTTCCCAGCACGGCATCGTCCTCCTCTTTCTTTTCCCGACAGCCAGGGGCGCATTCCTCTCAGTCGAATCCCTCATCACAGCTTGTGCGGACCGTTTCCAGCACAGCCTCGACCTCCGGCCACCACTGTGACCTGGCGTTTGCATTTCCAATTCGCCTGTCTTCCTCGTCGCAGCTTGTGCGGGCCGCTCCCAGCACAGCACTGTCCTCCGCCGGGCCATTCGTCTGCAAACACGCCCAAAGTCCCGCAAGCAACACGGATACCACGGGCGTGACATGGGCTACTCCCATTTCCTTCACAGCAATCAGGCTCAGGCTTTCGGCCCAGGTCCCAATCTTGCCAGAGGACCTCGACCGGCCCGAGCTCAGAGGACAATGTGTTTCTGGATTCAGTTGGTACTCAGGTTTCAGGGCAACTGGAGGAGTTTCTAGCACCTCTCAGCATGACCGCTTTGCGATCTTTACTACCGAATACCATTCGCAGGTTCGGTCCCTTCGGAGGGGTGCTACACTTGACGACGTGGTCGCGGAGGTGTTGGGGATAGTCCCGCGTCTCCGAAACATCCGCATCCTCATGGACCGCCTCGAAGGGTTCCCACCGCTTCAGGTGGTGGCTACCACGCGGGATTGTCCCATCCCAGGACACGCCACCCCTCTTGACATGAGGCCAGTCGGGGGACGCATTTGCACCCTGAACCTTTTTCCAGGCTTCTCTGCAGAAAGAATCAGTGAAATGATCCTGCAAGACTGCCCTGCAATCAGACGGCCTTCGCGAGATTTCATTCTGAAGTTGCCAGATGACACTCCTCTGCAAAGGCTTCCACTGCTCGCACTTGGGCCAGATCACCTGCGCGGTGCGGAGGCAGCGCGACTCGAACCAATGGAGCCGGCGCTTGCCCCTCCTTTGGAGCGGGATACGGCAATGGACGACCCAACCGCCCTTTTACAAGTACAACAGCGGGTCCGGCAAGTTCCCAACTCCGCCACTTCCCAGACCTCCGCGAGCGAGCTGCAGTCCTCTGTGCATTCAGGGGTACCTTCGGTTCCAGATACGAGGCGTGTGCGACCTGTTGTCTGCACCGCCCAGATCAAGCACTCCCTGACGGCAGACCTTTGCCTCCTTCAGGAATCTGATCAACTTACTGCTACCTCTGCGGATAGCCAGCTTGCTGTCGAGGCTCCTCCTGACAGCCCCGCAATCAGCCAGCCGCCGGCATTGCTTTGGCATCATTTCCGCGAGCTCGATCCTAAGGGAGGACACACTGCCGAGAGCGGGCTACCCACAATGTTGCCTGCTTACTTACCTACCTCGGCACGCAGAGAGCAGGCCGCAATCGACTTCTCTTGGGGGGGCATTGCTGGCACCTCTAACGATGCGTTTGTGACTTTCGATATCCTTCGTCATGCGCTTGTACGTCCTCGGGATGCCAGTGCTACGTTGCAGGATATCGTGACGGCCGCAGTTTCAGAAGCTCCATTTGTTGTTCGGGCGGTTCAAATTCTGACTTGTAATTTGCCGGGGTTTCCCCGCCCACAGCTGGTGTTGCATCGCAGGGAGGACGACCCCCGCTCCACCCCTCTTCCTTGGGACTTTAGAAGCATAGGGGGAAGGGTGCGCACTGTCCTCCACTACCCTGCCGAGCTCCTTTCAGAATCGGTAGCTGCAGTTCAAGCGGTCTGCCCGGAGATGCCCGATCTCCTTGCCTCCCTTCTGTCGCACCACCTGGTCGCAATCGACGCCACTGGCCTGCTGGATAATTATCTGCCCGACGACCTCGAAGAAGTTCAGTTTATCACTGTCGAGCGCAATGCCCGTAATTGGTTTCTTGAAGCTTCAGGTGTCCCCACCGGATGGCCAGAATGGTCTCCTCTCGGACCCACTTCTACATCAACTACTACACAGATTCAGGGGGACAACCGCAGGTTCCGCTTTGTGGTTCTACACGGCACCGAGCAAGCGCAAGTTGAGGTCAGGGCACCATGCTTACAGGCCGACGCAGTCCTTGAAAGCCTGCTGATGGACGTATTTGCACGTAGTATGCCTCTGCGAGGTGAATTGCGCATCATGATGGCCCGTGCGCACCCTTTGCCGAGTCAGGGAGTGCAGGACATTGTCTTTCTTGTGAGTGGGGACTTCGATAGTGAGCAGGCCACGGTTGTGGTGGATCAAAGTGAGTGTGGCTTTCCTGCACAAACTATGGTCCTTGCGCCATTCACCCGCTGCGAGGTGGAAGTACCCGAGCCCTGGAGATCGCAAGGTGTCCATTTGTTTGCCAATGCAGTTCCAGTTCACCTTGCGCAGCGACCGGCAAGCCAGGGGGATTATTTTCGGTTTTCTGCTGAGCTGGATCATCCGGTCTGTACGACAGCATCTGCTATCTTGTCCGCCCTTCCCGTGCTGGATCCATTTGCATGGCCGCTTGTAGCTGGAGACAGGCCATTCCAGTTAGAGCTGCCTAATCAAGCACGCATACGGCGCAGACAGCAGGGTGCATGACGCCACAAAGAAGGTTTGGTAGAGGTGTTAGGCCCTGACCACGGTCCCATTCGATTCCGGACCTTTGACGCTGTGGTTCCGGACATCCAGGACGCGCAAGCGGGTCTGGCGCGGCTTACCCGCCACCCAGCTCAGGGCTTAGCGATTGCTGTCACTCGTGCCATCGAACCATGTCGGGCCATCTTTTCCACCGGCAGCGCGCACAGCAGCCTTCAAACAGTCCTCTTACCCTCCTACGGCCAGCAGAATCAGTATCTCGTGCTAACAGTCCCAGCGCAAGCACGGACGTTGGGCAAGGTGCCTTTTCCGCCCAATTGTGTTCTCAGGCATCCTGGCCGTCCCTGGCGCACAGGTGACGTGGTGGACGTTCTTGATCTTGCCAATTGTGCGGTACCCTTTATCCCCAACATTGTGTCTGGCACGCCAATACCGCGGCCTCCTCGCGAGGCGTTTGGGCGACTCAGATTGGATATGGACTCCGCGGCCCGCAACACGGGACGCTGGAGCCCGGAAGAAATGTCCGATCAGGATAGGGCTGCGCTTGCTGCCCTGTTGCAAGAGGTTGCCGCGAACCCGTTCGATCCACCCGCACATGCCGAGGAGGACCACTCGTTACTCCAATTACAGGCTGTTCAGCGCCACCGCGGGATTCCCACCCCCCTGGGGCGGCGACATCTTCCACCCGTGAATGTTAAGGATAGTACGGGCTGCAACTCCCTGCCTCTTCAGGGACCCGGCTGTCATGGTGCCACTCCTTCACTCGAGCCCTCACCAGTCCACTATCTACAGCTTGCTGAGATTGTGCCTAACCCCACCCCAGCCCATCACCCCATTGCGCAGCTTCGGTTTGGAGTCACATCTGACTCATTTGGGGACATTTTTGGGCTCTTTGGGCTTGATAACCTGTGCACCTCCTCGCTTGAAACCGCCGATTTACAGCCGCATGTGCAACAGCTTGTCCGCTCACTACCCCCTTGGGGTGGAAGGAACTGCCAGGCCCTGCAGCTTTACGCCGACGGTTCATTCTTCCCACCTTCAGCTCGGGCACCAGCCCGAGCCGGTTGGGCGGTATATGTGTCCTGGCCCTGCACCATGACACTTGGTGCTATGCAGGCTACTTGGCCTCTCCGGCTCCGATACAGGGCAGCGTCGCCACTCTGGGACAGGCAGTGGAGTCTTCCTTCGAAGTAGAGCTTGCTGCCCTGCTACATGCCCTTGCCATCGCCGCCAAACTTCAGGTACCTGCCATGATCGGATATGATAACCTGGCCGCGGGCCACGTTGCCTTTGGCGCCGCGGTGGATAGTCGCAATTCTCCCATGAGCCAGGCATGCGTTGAGATCTTGCATTTCTTGAGACTATGTGGTGTTGCCCCCATTGGCTTTCACATCCATTCGCACCAAGGACACCCCGCTAATGACCTTGCAGATGCCCTTGCCCGTGGAGCTGCTGATAGCAGAGAGCTTCTTGCACCATCTGCTGCCTTACACGAGGCACAACACTCAGGCGCCCTAGCTTGGATTTGGGCGGCTTGCAACCTGCATCGCAGCTTACCCACAATCGGCAGTGATGGAATCGTTGCCCTCGAGCCCACTGCCAGCGACGGCCTGGCCCTTCTTGATGTGCTTCCAGAATCCGCGACCGTCGACGCGGCTGTGGACATCGACTTTCGTACAGCAACATATAACTGTCTGTCCCTGCAAGGCATCGAACAAGTGGAATCGTTGGATTGGCAGTTCTGGGCTGCCAACCTCGCGATTATCGCTTTGCAAGAAACGCGCACTTCCCCAGGGCGCCGCAGTAGCACCCCTCATTACCATGTGCTGGCCAGCAACGACGAGGACGGACAACTGGGCTGTCAAGTCTGGATCGCTAAATCATGTTGCACAGGCCAGAATGGGAGTCCACAATGGGACCCAGCTACCTTTGCCATACTCTACTCAAGGCCACGCATTTTGATGGTTTCAGTTAGAGCGGGTAAGTTCAAGCTGGTCGTCATTTCTGCGCATGCCCCGACCGGCAAAGCCAGCCCTGCCATTCGAGAAGCCTGGTGGGAGGAGCTCTCAGGTGTTCTGCGCAGAGTTCCCCAAGGCTATACGCCACTGCTCTGTATTGACGCCAATGCGCACTTTGACTGGCTCCCTGACCCCCCAGCCGAGAATCAGGCCCTGAACCCTAATGGTCACAAGATGGCCTTGCTGTTAAGGGAACACCACCTCACGGCCACTGCCAACACTCTTCCCGCTGGCGATCGAGTTGTTACTTGGCGAGGCCCCCAAGGGTCAGAACACTGTTTGGACTATATCGCGTGCCCTACGAGCCTTTCGCTTGGGTTGCATCTTAAGGGTGTTCTCCCTGGTTTTGTCGGCAAAGTTGACCATGACCACGAGCCTCTGGTTGCATCGCTGCACTGGAATAGGCCCATGGGCCCCAACCGCCCACCTTGCAGATATGATACCAAACAGATGCTCACAGATAGCGGCAAGGCCACGATCAAAGACATCTTTGACCGTGCTCCTCGAGTTGCCTGGGAGACCGATGTTGACTCTCATCTCCATGCCCTCAACTCCCACCTCACTGCGGAGCTCTCGCGAGCTTTCCCTGCGAAGGCTGCTGGCCCCCGCTCCTACGTCCTGCAAGACCACTCGTGGCAGCTTATTCAAGACCGGCGCAACCTCCAAAGAGACCTTTTTGACTGTAAGCAGGGTCGTCGCCGCATCATTTTGCGAGAGGTTTGGAGGGCATGGACAAGAGGGGCTGCCGAGACCCATGACATCCGACTCAGTCATCAGGTGGAGGCACTCTACGCGAGCCAACTCCGGGACCTAAAGGCTCGTGTACGCGACAGCAAGCGACAAGACTTGGCTGCAGCTGCCCAGAATGCAATGACTACGGCTCGCCGACGCGGACCAGAAGCCCTGCACAAGCACATGCGCCAAATCATGCGCTGCGGCAGAAGATATCGCGAGCCTGCCATCCAGCCTGCCATCCAGCTCCCTGACGGACGATTTGCTGCCGACTCACATCTACAGCTTGGGCTACATTTCGCCACTGCTGAAAGAGCGAGTCTCAGCTCTGCACAGGACATTCGCACGACAGCTGCTCCGCCTCCCACCCAGCCCTTGCTGGCCGATCCTTCCATGAGCATTGCTTCTCTGGCGCGGGGATACGGGAGCTTGGCCTCGGGAAAGGCCTCCGGCCCCACAGGGCTGCCCATGGAGCTCTATAAGGCAGACCCGATTGGAGCCGCCAGCACTCACCAGCCGCTGCTGCTGAAGGCTCAGCTCAGCGGGACAGTACCGGCCCTGTGGCGTGGCGGCCATAATATCGCCATCCCCAAACCCAACAAGCCTCTACAATGCGCAGACGCCTGGCGTGCCATCCTCCTATGTGAAAGCTCGCTGAAGGGAGTGTGCAAGGCCGTCCGCGGTCCTCTTTTGCAGTGCCTTGATCGCGTACGCACTGCCGCACAAGGTGGCAGCCGAGTCGGAGCGCCACTCCAAATTCCCATGGCGTACGCACAGGGCTATGTGCGCACCCTTTTTCGGGAAAAAGCCACGGGTGCACTACTCTTTGTAGATGGCAAGGCCGCCTTCTACTCCACCTTGCGACAAGGCCTTTTTGGCAGCGAAGGTGGCCTCCCTGGCCAGTTCCTGAACTCCCTGGCAGACGCCCTGTTTGACAGCCCTCAGGACAGACTCCGGTTTATGTCTCAGGCATTGGGACCTGGACTCTTAGCCTCCAATGATGTTCCAGAGCCAGTCCGCAGAGTTGTCACCGCCACCTTGCGGGACACCTGGTATTCTGTCGGTACCAATGAGCGACATTACTTTGAGACCAGATCAGGGACTTCCCCTGGAAGCCCGAATGCGGACGTGCAGTTCCAACTGGTCTTTGCACAGGTCTTGCAGCGAATGGAGACTCTCCTCGCCGATCTTTGTGCCGAAATCCAAATGGGATTGCACAAGGAAGCGGGATTCTCTTCTTCAAGCACCCCGGCTCCCTCATGGATGGACGACTTGGCGATCCCCTTGAGAGCCAACAATGCTGAGCATCTCATGTCTTGTGTAGACAGGGTACTCCGTGAGCTTTGGAGTGCCATGAAGGACATTGGCCTCGATATTAACTTTTCGCTTGGCAAAACAGAACTCATGCCGATTATTCTCGGCACTGGTTCACGCCGTTCGCGCCAAAGATTGCTTTGCGAAACCGGTGCTCGGCACACTGTCCTTCTGGCCCCTGCCAATTCCGTTGAGCTTCACATCACAGACAAGTACGTGCATTTGGGCACCCTTTTGGACAGCTCTGGCAATGATGTTGCGGCCATCAAGCACCGAACCTCATTGACGAGGGAGATGCTTTTGCCACTCAAGCGGCTCTGCCGGAATCCTTTTCTGTCTGAGGAAGCGAAAACCGACATGTTGCGCAGCATGCCACTCTCCAGATATCGCCACGGCGCAGGGTTCTGGCGTACCACCCAGGTGCAAACCCGACAGCTTTACCAGCGGGGCTATATGGAGACCCCCCGCCGGCTCCTTCGCGCCATCACAGGGCTCTCCTCCCAAGGGCTCACTGACGAGGACGTTTGCTTGGTCTTAGATATTGCCAGTGCTACAGAGGTACGCAACGCCGACCTTGTTAGACACCTCGCATGTGTGCTGGCCGAGCCCGGCCCCCACCTGCGCGCGGCCTGGCAGCAGGACACAGACTGGTTCCACGAGACTACAGAAGCTCTGGGTGTCGTGGCCTCTTCCTGTCAGGTGTCTGCGGACCGGGCCTGGAGCCGACTGGATGCACAGCCCGGCTTAGCTTCACAATGGACTCGCAGGTACCTGAGACAATGCAGACGTGCTCGCCGAGAAGCGGCGCCTCAGCGCAGAGAGCATCTCGTTGCCCTGCAGGCTCTGCGCGAAGCTGGATTCATTCTGTGCGCCCGGCCTTCGCCTGAATGCACCATATCGGAGACCGTCTGCAAAGTATGCGGCAAAGGGTTCAGTAAAGCGGCGGCATGTGCGTCGCACATGCGCAAACGGCACAACATTGTCGCACCAGCCACAGAAGCTACCCTGGGTACAGCGTGCCAGGTTTGCGGTGTGGAATTTTGGAGCTCCAAGCGTTTGCGGCAACACTTGCAACGAAGCCACAGATGCCGCCATACTGTGCTCGCCGCGGAACTCCCCGTCACCGCCACGGACCAGGTTAATAGACACCACCATGCCTGGCTTCCAGCCACTAAGCTCATAGGTCCGCAGCCATGGTGGGCTGGACTTCACCCTCCAGAAGAGCTGCCCCCTGTTGATGCAGTCGAATGTCCTCCATGGCATCCGACGCTCCAGAGGCTGGCTTCGCTTACAGCTCCTTTTAAGGAGCTTTTTGCCACAGCCCGGACTGCACTTGTTCAGGGAGAGCTTATCGGTGCTTCTGAGGAAGATCTGCCAATTGCATCTTGCCAGCTCCCTCCGTCGCATCGCGACCTGATTGCACTTTGCATCATGATCGCCAATTTTGAGCCTGTGCAAAGCACGGCTACCATTCGCAGAGGAACCTGGATTGGGCGACTCCGCGCTGATAAAGTGAGTTTAGGCCCAGCCGAACAGACAGCTGGCCTTCCAGCTGCTCACAATTTGCCTGCGGAGTGGGCTTTTTGTTTGAGCTAAGACCGTCGCATGAATTGCAGCGCACTCGGAGAGTACTAGCATCCATCCAAAAAACCCCTAAACCCTGAACCCTGCACCCTAAACCCTAAACCCTGAACCCTAAACCCTGAACCCCCCAACCCGAAACTATGTTAGCGCATGTAAATTCAGCCTTGGTCTAGCGGCCCATTCCTTCAGGCCCTGCTCGGTATCCACACAGGCCTGCCAAGGTTTAGGGGGGTTCAGGGGTTCAGGGGTTTAGGGTTTAGGGGTTTCAGGGTTTAGGTTTAGGTTCAAGGGTTCAGGGGTTTAGGTTCAGGGGTTTAGGTTTAGGCCCGCATTGCAGGGTTTAGGGTTTAGGGGTTTAGGGGTTTAGGGGTTTAGGGGTTTAGGGTTAAGGGGTTCAGGGTTTAGGGGTTCAGGGGTTTGGGGGTTGGCAAAATCATGGCTCTGTGGGCCGCCTTTGGGGTGCTGGGGGCTTCCGGTCGAACGCCAGCCCCAAAAGGGCGCCAGAGGTGAACTCCGAGTCTAGGCTTCGGGGTTTTCTGGGCTCTTGTCAAGGGACTTAGTTTAAATTACCCTGATTATACCAACTTACATTAAGTTCTTCAACAAGAACCCGGTTTTGTAGCCTGGATGTGGGCAACTGGGCTTCTAAGGGCGCTGGCTTTGAGCCCGGACAGGATGCCTAGGGCCTAGACCTTCGGAGCCGTAGAGGTTTCGTGCTTAGGGCTGATTGTCGGATCAGGGTTTAGGGCTTTGGGCCTTGGGTTTAGGGCTTCGGGGTTTAAATTTCTGGGGCTGGCGGCTTATGAACTTGAATTCTTGAAGGGCGAGGGACTAGTAAGTTGGGTTTTAGTTGCGACGACAAGCACCCTACAATGAAGTTTCCGTTGGCTAACCTTCCGTTACCCCGAAGTTCACTCTCGTACTGAGGCCTCTTTGCCATCCAGCAGCGCCACGCACTCTGGATCTATCGATCTGTCTATCGATCGATCGGTCTATCGAACTATCGATCTATCTATATCTATCCATCTGCCTACCTAGCTACCTACCTATCTATCTCTATCTATCT